CAAATGCAACGCGACCAGATGCGACTGTATGCGTTTCACCTTGGCGCACTACACGCCCGGAGTTAGCCGAGTGAGACGGCCAGGCCGGGAGGAACGGAACGGAACGGCACGGGACGGGACAGGACGGGAAAGAAGAACGAAGACGGCCCGGAAACGGGGCGGGTCGGCATTCGCTTTGCGCGGCAAAGCGTGTATGCGGAGTCCTCGGCGTGTACGCATGTGACGGTTCACACGCGCAAGAAAAGGCCGGTTAATTTCTACCGCATGCAGAAGACTGCTGCTCCAAGAAACTCTTCCAGGACACTGTTTCCCTCCTTTTTTACGTGCCATTCTTCCTGTCTCTTAACTTTCCCTCTTGCGAGCAATTCGCTTGGCGATGCGAAGCTAATTGTGAGATTTATGATAATGCAGAGAAAAAAATCTCAATTGCACTCTTTTTTTGTTGTTACAGCCGTTTCAACTAAAAGCAATTCTTGGATAGGTGCCGCGAGGCTCCGTCTTTTATCTTCCTTTTTTTAGACTACAGTACAACCACGATGATCCGAACCCTGCAAATCCAAATTTTCGGATAACTGAGCAAAATTTGGGATGAAGGAGAAAATAAACAAAAAACACCTGATTTGTATTAACTTCATTTATTAACAGAAAAGCATGCACACAGTGTAAGTAAACTCAATTCTGAATACTGTACGCAGAATACGTACGTTAACAGCAGCGACACAAAGTGTGCTTCAACTCTTCTAAATAATGCAGCAACCACTCATGCGATCGGTTATATACGTACTGTACTCCGATGTTTGCAACATTGCTACTTCCTCATGTCACCACGCTAGTTGCTTTTTTCTCACTTCCCATGCTACATTGCCTTGTGTCTGGTACATACGGAACATTTTTTTCGGATAATCCGAACATTTCCGAATCCGAACAGACCACACCTCCAATTTGTTCGGAATACCGGAGTTCTCCTGTATTAGAAATTCAAATGGAAAATACTGTTTCCCTGGACTTGCAGAGTTTAACGTTGTTATGATTGCTATCGAATATTACTATTCACCTTCCATATTTTCACAGGGATTGATTTATAGACAAACAAATACTTAATTTCTTCAGAATTATTGTCATAAATTACGTTCGAGTAAAACATTTGACAAGCTATTTTCAGAATTTTGCTATTTATCATTTCACTCAATGCCAAAGCATTACTATTCCAGAATGAGTGAAATATAGAACCGCTTGAAAAACTGGAATCGCACAAATGTCTGAAAAGAAACACGTTTTAACACGTTAAATGACAACAGTATATTTGAATGTACGAGTTGTACGTTACTGCTCTACGGAGATGGTACGAGTACTTAAGTTACGGGATCCCCTTATTTATAATTTGCGCATTGTAGAAACAACTAAAGAATTTTTACAAGAGAAGGGCCATAATATTAATTTAATGCATTAAATGCACATAGTTTGGTAGGCTTTATTTCACGAAGAAAGATTAATTAGAGATTTGGGGCGATCGAAAAAACGAATGTATATTTCTCAGCAATCTGCATTAGCATAATACTGGATTCGGTCGCATATTTGAGGTCGAGATTTCGCTTGCTTGGTTTTTAATCCTGGCACGGAATGGTGCTTTTATCTTGATGTCTGGATGGATGAATGGATTTGTTCATACATATCTCGAGCAGATAAAAAGCTTTTACTTGTACACACGCTAGAAATAAGCTCTATTAGTGCTGTTCCAGGTCTATTTATAGATTTTTTTAATTCTCAAGGTTTTCCATTTCGTCCATCACAGAAATGTCACATAACTCCAAAACGCATACTTTTCAGTACAGCTAAACAATTAGGAAAAGGATGTATTACTAGTTATTTGATTTTCACTGTGTAACTAACTTGTTCAACTAATTTGAATAATTCCATTTGATAAACTGAAATTGGTTCTATATAATGGTAGTATTAACTTAAGGGCCAAGTTTTTAATTCTGTCACTTATCTATGTGACGTGCGATATACTAAAGAAAAAATACGTAAGAAAAGATGTTTTGTTCGTCTATAATATATTCACTTGAACTATTAAGAGACCCAAAAAATGAGAAACCATGGAAAAAATGTACGTCTTAATAACACAATATCTGCAATATAGATATTATAGGAATGCAAATTAAACGTGTAAATTAAGAAGATATAAAATATTATTCTATAACATTCACTTTAGAATTAGTTAATTTTCAAAAAATATTACTGAGTGCGAGGGTGGACGTTTCCGTTTCTTTTGGCTTGGAAGCGAATGCGCCAACGTAGGGTTGTGATTGCTTCGATTGATTAATTGATTCGATTGATTTATTGATTAGGATTTCTGGGCGCGGCAACAGCTATTGTCATTGGTACCGTAAATGTAGTGAATGTTTTGTCAGCGGAGGTAGAGGTGATCTTCCTCAGCTAGATGGTGAGGTCTGGCGCCGACCTACAAGTCGGTTTTCCGGTTTGTCTCAACCAATATGTTCGAACTACGGGTCATCACCTCAACCGGGATAAGCTTCCCTGGCCTCCCTACATGTGCGGTAATGTGAATTTGTGTGTATGTGTAAGGGGTGAGGATAGGTCAAGGAAGGGTAAGGAAAGATCGCATGCGGTCCGTGGTTCGTTTTCGGGGGGTACTGCTGCGGCATTCGCCTGGTGTTAATCGCAGAAACCTCGTAAAACTACCGATCAAGGCAGCCGACCGCTAGAATTCTCCTCCAGACAGCGCCTGAAATCGACCTAGCTATGTCGATAGTATCGAAAGATATGTCACCTTCGGGACTCGAGCCCTAGGGCCTCCCGGATGGAGGGACTGCAGTTATATCAGTTGACGGCTCGAGCCACCTACGCCAGCATTTATTTAGAATTTCTGTCCACTAAAGGTGAGAGTAGACATCTCACTGATTCACTCATTCTCTCTACGTTACAACTTGATTCGTTATAATGAGCATGGGAAATGTCCACCCACATTCATCTTACGTACGACTGTGTTTAGAGGGAATGGCAAAGGCTTGGGCTTCTTTGACTACACCTAGGGGTCCGGCCCTGATCAACAAGGTTTGCAGCAAAAACAGGCAGATAGTCTGTTTGTAGCCCTATCAATTAAGAGTTGAATGCCTTGGACAACGTTCTGGAGATGTGAACTGCTCCTTCAAGAACAACTCAACTCTTTGAGAATCGTCACCCAATCGCCAGAGCGCAACATTAGCGAGCATTTCTTATGTGATGATGGGCGACCATCTCGAAGCCATCACCTAAATATCCTCTTCGGAGCCGTAATCCCTTTCCCTGACACGATTTCTGACTCATTTAAAAACACACGAAAGAAAGATAATTTTTTACAGAGTTCATTCCCGATACGTCATAAAAATGTCTAAAATGGATATTCAGAGATCTGCATATCTTCATGAATCTACTTTGACATGAAAAATCACGAAACGTGAAGATTTCGCTTTCGTTCTAGTTATTTTCAGAATCAATTCCAATACATTTCTGAGAATATTGCCATTGGGTATTTTCCCAATGTTTACTTTAGGGGATGGCGGCAAGATATTGGAAGTGGAAGTCGAGTACATTTTACATTCAATACGTTGACTTTTATGCAGTAAAGTTAAAATCTATTAACAGCATATGTGAAATTTCTACCACAGGTAAAACGACAAAATCACTTAGTATGTCCACAAGTGCTAGTATACCTACGGAAGTCGTTTGAAAAGTAGTTCGTTTACTAACAAACAAGTATAACGCGGGTATTACTAGGGAGCTAAAGTCTTGATTTCAGCTAATAAGCAGAGATTTCTTCCGAACATGTTTTAAATACGTTCATGAACATTTAGGCGTGCACCATTTTTGTGCATGATGTTAGCAGACGTTGACGGACAAGCGTAATTCCAGTGAAGATTTGATCTGGCTATATATTGTACTATTTACCATCAAAAGTAATGTGATGTAGGTAGTAAATGGTTAATTTGCAGACCTAAAAAATTATTTTACAAAAATTGCGTTACGGTTTTCGTCGCCAAATACATACAGGTTACTCAAATGTATTGGTAGTTATCAATCATAAGTCAGTGATATCCGAATAATATTGACTCTCCTTTATCTCAATGAAGGCGGTAGTGGCGGAGTGGGGGTGGAGAGGGCAGGGGCGGCGAGGTGTCGGCAACTGGATCTGCGATAGGGTCTGGGACAGGGTCTGGGATGGGGTCTGGAATGGGGTCTGGGACGCGGTTTGGGAAGGCGTCTGTGACGGCGTCTGGAACGAGTGCGGCGACGAGGGGGACGATGGGGGCGGCGACGGGGGCGGAGACGGGAACG